AAGAGTCCTCTCCTGCTGATGTTCAGGTGTATATCAGTATGTAGTGTCTCTACTTTAAAGAGTCCTCTCCTGCTGATGTTCAGGTGTATATCAGTATGTAGTGTCTCTACTTTAAAGAGTCCTCTCCTGCTGGTGTTCAGGTGTATATCAGTATGTAGTGTCTCTACTTTAAAGAGTCCTCTCCTGCTGGTGTTCAGGTGTATATCAGTATGTAGTGTCTCTACTTTAAAGAGTCCTCTCCTGCTGGTGTTCAGGTGTATATCAGTATGTAGTGTCTCTACTTTAAAGAGTCCTCTCCTGCTGATGTTCAGGTGTATATCAGTATGTAGTGTCTCTACTTTAAAGAGTCCTCTCCTGCTGATGTTCAGGTGTATATCAGTATGTAGTGTCTCTACTTGTATTGATGTATGTACATGTCCATGCTGTTGGGTTCAATCTATAACATGCAGTGAAGTAGAAAGATAGAGTAGCTAAAAATAGAAATACTCAACTAAAGTGCAAGAACCACAAAGCGTTAGTTTCTCCTTCAGTGTTCCTGCTTCTTGTTGACCTCCATTAAAGTGGATTTCTTTTGGCTGGACGTCTGTGAAACGCTTAGGAGAGAAGGCAGAACACTGTGTTTAAGATTGAGCAATAAAATAACCTGTTTATTACGAGTTAAATTAGATGTTTGACCCCGACAAATAAATCTATGGTCTCTTGTAAACCCCAAATACCACTAATAACCCTGCTGCATTCTGGGAACTGTATTTGATAGGTAGCCAGTTCAGATTAATATCTACTTTAGTTACAGCATTTTGGATCAACTCAAAGAGACGTTATGGTACTGCCTGATGATAAGAAATGACATGAATCCAGCCTTGGAGTAATAAATGCATGGACTCGTGTTTCTGCCTGGTTTTGAGGTAGGATGTACCTGATTGTTGCAATGTTATGTAGATAAAAGAAGACAGTTCTTGAGATGTGTTTTATATTGGAGTTAAAGGATTCATTCGGAGGAAAGATAGCGACAAAACTCCTTACGGTTTCGCTGGAGGCCAAGTTAATGCCATCCAGAGTGAGTATAACTTTAGTCTCAGAGTACAATAGCTTCAGTTTAACATGAAATACTTGAGATTTCATAAATTATCTGTGGCTTTAAAAGAAGAGAAAGACTTAAACCCAGCAGGACACTAATGGCGCATTTCCACTGCAGGGCCTCGCACGGCTTAGTACGGTATAGTTAGGCTCACTTTATGCTGCGTTTCCATTACAGTTTAGGAACTGGGGCAGTAACTATAGTAACGCAGTGTAGGCGGAGCCGTGACGTCATCTTCAATGAGAACCACAGAAAACCAACAGCAGCCGTTAGCTGTTAGCACTCAGAGCTCACAGCTCCTCATATGTGTTCAGAAACTAGACACAAGTTAAACAAGTACAAACCACAGACTGCCTGTGTCATGGTGAATACAGTCGCTGCTTTATTTATGTCTGTAGGCCGTTGTTGTGAGTGTGGACGGTCGGAGCATATACTGCGTTATCAAATCTCACGGATGTTGATGACCTGAACCTTTATTTTCATGAAAAATGTACGGACCAGAAAAGATTCTTCTTGAACCCTTTTGAACAAGACAGAAACTTTTTATTAATTATTATTATTATTGTTTTTGTTTCTAACACGTTCAATAAATTGACTAATAAAAAATAAATTATAAAAAATATATAAATGATTATATGTTAAATTGAGAGGACATGATGTGTGTTGAAGGGAGACAGAAAGACGCTCCCTCCCTTCTTACTTGACCCCCGTTTAGCCGGGTCTGGATTTCAATATAAAAGAGGCGCTTAGTGCACTGCTGTTAATTATGAGAGAGGGAGGTTCTGGTCAATTAGGCAGGAAGTGATGTCGCCCTGCAGCCTGTGACCTGCACACTTCAAGATTCAAGGCTTTTATTGTCATACGTGCAGAGCGACAGTCTGGATATATCAATGAAAATCTGAGGTCACAGGCTCCTCCCACAGAGCAACACAATAACACAGATACAAGAGTGCAAGTAAATAGAAATAGAATGGAAATAGTGCAAGAAGAGTCGATATACAAGTAATTGGAATATGATATATTAGATTTGTAAGTTGCAAACAGATGAATGTTTATGGATGGTCTTCACAGAGTTCAGGTGTTTAGCAGTCGTATGGCCTGTGGGGTGAAACTGTCTCTGAGTCTGGTGGTTTTAGTCCTGATGCTGCGATAAACTGACTCATGTTGTCTCCGTCAGTCTGAAACGTGAAGCTCAAACGCCGTCACCTCGTTAGCGTTTTCTCAGGGAACACGTCGCATATTAATGTGTTTTAAAGCTTTGTTGCATGTCCCTGAATCTCATGACACACACACTCACACACACACACTCACACTCACACTCACACAAACGGGGGGAAAATAACTGCTTCATCAGGTCTGCCGTTCTCTGACTTCAGGGGATGAACCTGTGGAGTGACACTGACGAGACTCAAACACCTCTCGAACAAAACATTGAAAGGAAAAACACCTGAACTAACGGAGCGGTATGTCATGTTCGGACACATTTAAAAAACCTGCAACGGAAAAAAAAAAACTCTCAGCCAGCCCTGTTTTCTTATTCCTCTCATCTGTCAGAACCGCAGGCTGATCCGACACAGCTCAAGGACTACCGCAGTCCTCCCAACACACACACACACACACACACACACACACACACACACACACACACACACACACACACACACACACACACACACACACACACACACACACACACACACACACACACACACACACACACACACACACAAAGTCAGACAGCCATGAAAACACTCACCAGTAGAATCAATCACGTCCCATGCAGCAGATATTCAGCAGGTATTCCTGGCATGGCTGCAGCAGCACTGAGAGTATGTGTGTGTTTGTTTGAGTGTGTGTGTGTGTGTGTGTGTGTGTGTTTAGTTTAAGGCGTGCAGCGCTGCATGTTAACAGCCAGCAGCAGCAGATATTTTCCTGTTTTCCTCTAGTATCTCCAAGAACCAACGTCTCCTCTCTCTTCCTCTCGACAGCGGCAGAAAGAGGAGGGAGGCAAAGAGACGCCGGTGGAGAGAGAGAGGGAGAGAGAGGATTAGAGCGAGCGAGGGAGGGTGAGAGAGGGAGAGAGAGGGAGAGAGGGAGAATTAAAAGTAGAGGAGGGAGAGACACTGAGAGTGAATGATAGGTTGTGTTTGTCGTTCCTCCATCCTGCCTCTCCTCTGCTGTTGGAGAGGAGATCATCCATCACTCACACACACACACTTGTACACACACACACTTGTACACACACACACACTTGTACACACACACACACACACACACACACACACACACACACACACACACACACACACACACACACACACACACACGTTGATTACGTACCAGCTCCCCAGAGACCGGCCAATAAGTGTTGAGCTCTGCAGCTGTGGGGTGAATCCGATTGGCTTAGCAAGCTGTCAATCAGTCCGTCACAATCCCCCCTGTATCCCCTCGGCAACGGAGAGGAGAAGAGAGGGAGAGGAGAGGAGAGGAGAGGAGAGGAGAGGAGAGGAGAGGGAGAGGGAGAGGGAGAGGAGAGGAGAGGAGAGGGAGAGAGAGAGGGAGAGAGGGAGAGAGGGAGAGAGAGAGAGAGAGAGGAAATAGGAAATAGGAGGAAGATGAGGAAAGAGTAGAGGAGGAGCAGGTAGAAAAGGAGAAGACAAAATCTAAACCAAACTCGAAATAATTGTCAAAACAAAGAGACCATAGTTGGGGTTTTGAGTGCATAATTAGGTCCCAATGCAAAGTAAAAATACACTTTGAGTACTGCATGGTGCTCTCTGAACCGTGGAAGGTTGACCCTCCCTCTTTATAACGTATTTCCTGATGTTGTTTATGTTTACGCCAAAGCAAATTCCTGATATGTCTAAATCTTGGCAATTTAACGGAAGTCATGCGACGGATGAAAACAGCACTAAAGGAGTATTTGTTGGTTATAACCATGCTAACCTCGATAAATACAGCATAGCAGAGCAGCTTGTGGTGATGGAGAGCTATGATGCACCACAGATAGATACAAAGTAATAAACTCATAAGGTGATCGACCCACTCTGAGGAAGGTTTTTGTCCCTGGACTTTACAATTGTTTATGATTAAAGTGACTCATTACATAAATGACTGGACAGCTGTGGTTAACACAAGCTGAAGAGATTTTAACGTTTTGTTCTACGACTTAAAATACGTAAGTAAATAGCCCACTGGTGAATTTAAAAACGGTGTCTAAATGAGACGACTAAACGTCATCACGCCCAAAATTAGCCACCTTTAGCTTAGCGATGGTGACGTGAAGTCATGTGACCGTGCTGTAGTTCCTTTATAGCCCAACATTAGCCTCCTTTAGCTTAGCAGTGGTGACGTGAAGTCATGTGACCGTGCTGTAGTTCCTTTATAGCCCAACATTAGCCACCTTTAGCTTAGCGGTGGTGACATGAAGTCATGTGACCGTGCTGTAGTTCCTTTATAGCCCAACATTAGCCACCTTTAGCTTAGCAGTGGTGACGTGAAGTCATGTGACCGTGCTGTAGTTCCTTTATAGCCCAACATTAGCCTCCTTTAGCTTAGCGGTGGTAACGTGAAGTCATGAGACCGTGCTGTAGTTTTTTTCTGACATATGAATAATTTGCATGTAATCAACTGTATTGTCTTCCCGATGCTCAGAATAACCACTCAGATAAACAACCTTCATTTCTACATTTCCAATATGCATTTTGTGTTTGAATCAGACGCTCTAATCAACCTGAGAGTATTTGAAGGTGCACTCAGACATTAAACGAGAATGCAATCCTTCAATCTTTAATCTTCTGCAGACATCTTGAACTAGATCTGAATGTACAGACACCTTCTTTCCTCACATCACGCCTGTATGATTTTTAATTTGGCTGTTTTTAAAGTTGTATGCTTATATATGTATACTTTTCTTCCTCAGGTCGCCCAAGAACCCCCAGGACGAGATCATCAAGCGTGTGATCGGCCTGGAGGGAGACCTCATCAGGTAGGAACGTTAACAGATGTCTAATTAACACCGAGAGAGAGGAGATGATTCCTCTAATACCAACTTTATATGGTATTAAAGGTCTCCTATCATGCAAAATGCACTTGTATGTCTTTTATACATACATTTGTCCATCTTATCTGATCTTAAGTGTGAATCTATACGCCTACTGCCTGAATCTGCTTCATGGTTTTCACTTTCTTTGCTTCATTTGTTCTGTTTTTAATCCAGCAGGTGAACCTATATGTTCATAAAATAGTGTTTGAGAGCTTAACTGTGTGTTTTAGAGGTGTCCTATCATTCAAAACGCACTTTTTGATGTCTTCTATACATCACTATGTGTCCCCGGTGTGCCCCCGGTGTGCCCCCGGTGTGTCCCCGGTGTGTCCCCGGTGTGTCCCCGGTGTGTCCCCGGTGTGCCCCCGGAGTGTCCCCGGTGTGTCCCCGGTGTGTCCCCCGTGTGTCAGGAGACTCACAAAGTGTCAGAAATAAACCCCTCTCTCTTTTCCTCCGTACCCACATCTAAAAACGGGGGAACAACGGAGAAGATCCAGATTTGCTGCGTCATGACCACATTACTAAAATGTGGGCGGGCTTTACACCCACGGAGCTGCCATCCATGGAGGACCTTTACTCCCAGCGGCTCAGGAAGAAATCACTACGGATTATCAAAGACCCCCATCACCCCAGCCACAAACTGTTCTTTCTGTTGCCGTCTGGCAGACGTTACCGCAGCATCCTGGCAAAAACAAAAAGATTCTGAGACAGTTTCTTCCCGCGGGCAGTGAGACTGTTAAACAATTGAACTGCTGAAACAACTTCATAACATTCATCTGCTACTCAGTAATATATATCTACTATCTAATATATATCATTCCAATAACTTGTATATAGACTCGTACTGCACTATTCCACTTTATTTTAGAACTATTTTTCTTTTTGTATTACTTTTACTATCTGTATTATTATGTTGCATTGTTGGAGAAGCCTGTGACCTAAGATTTTCAACAACATAATTACTCTGTAACTATGTTAGTTTGACAATAAAGAACCTTGAACCTTGAACCTTGAACGGGCCAATCAGAAACGTTGCTGTCAGAAACAATGAGACGTGTTCTGGAAGTAATATGGTCGATGTTTACATTAGCATGCTAACACTCAGAGCTAACCTGTACTGGAGAGAGTGGGTGTTTCTCAATCGCGAGTACGCTTGCTTGGTAGCACATGTCTGCCGAGCATCTTGCTTCAGAAGCGAGGCAAGAATACTTCCTGGCATTCGGAAAACAAAGAGTGGAACAGGCTAGCAAGTGTGCAGGTGTGCGTCATATGAGAGGCCCCGCCTTACATCTTCCGCCACAGATTTGGGGAAATTGGTCCGTGCGCAGGTCTGAAGTCAGGTCTGAAGTCAGGGGGGTGAACACATCACAGAGAGGGTTGTTGGTGCAGAGCTCCATGAAACAAACTTGTCAAACTGCAGCAGGTGTTTCAGGCCAGAGTCGAGCTGAAGTCTTCTTTCATTCTCATTTTTATCTCCAAACTGGAAACAGATTGGGTGCAGCCGCTCTGAAACACAGACAACAAAGGAAATCAAACTGAAAACCATCAGAGTTGTTGCCACACTGCGTGGCCTCAAACTGTCAGAGTGGCAAAAAACATCTTGTATTATTATCGGATCAAACACAACCAGAACACTTTCCACTTTCCTCCAAAAACACAGGTGTGTGTGTGTGTGTGTGTGTGTGTGTGTGTGTGTGTGTGTGTGTGTGTGTGTGTGTGTGTGTGTGTGTGTGTGTGTGTGTGTGTGTGTGTGTGGTGTGTGTGTGTGTGTGTGTGTGTGTGTGTGTGTGTGTGTGTGTGTGTGATATTGGTGGACAGCTTTATGCTTCTGTAATTCATCACAGAGACCCAGTCTGTCTCTCTATCTTTTCACTTTTAATCAGATCAGGGAACTTCTGATCAGACTTTTGGAAACTCGTCACTGGAGCAATATGATTCATTTTTAATCCATGTGTTACATTTCAAGATGCATGCAGTGACTACTTGTATGATTAAGGTAATGGGATTATGAGTCACAGGTTATTTTAGGTGGAGTTAGTTATTTATGAGCAAAATTTCTGTCCAATTCAACAGACTTTGCTTTGTATCGTGCTTTTAGAGACGATAAGGGAACATCTTCTTCTTCCTCCTCCTCTTCCTCTCTGAGTGTATTTAGCAAGCAGGACTGCAGAACATCAACTAAAATGCTGAAACTGAATTTAATCTAATGCTATCTGGGGGTAGGAAGTGGCAGGACATCAGACCCTCAGATATGTGTTTCCAGGATCATGAGATCAGCTATGTGTTGGTGCAGATCCCAGGTCAGCGGCTAGGGAAAAGGATGCAGAATTAACTGGTTTCCTGGCTGTCAGCCTCTGTTGTCTCAGACGTAAATCACACCCTCAGATTTTAACTGGAGACCGTCTGCCTGCCAGAGAGGATTGTTTTACAGATTCAGATCCAAACACTCACGTAAATCTCCAGAGGAAACTGAGTGGGAGTGTTAGCTCAGGAGGAGCCGCAATGAGCTAATGGTCACTCGTAAATAACGTTTATTTGTCTGTAAAGCCATTAAACAGATCCCCCTTCAGCAGGAGGTGACGTGAAGAGTCACTCCTACTCGAACAAAGAAGACAAGAAGACACATGAAACACTCTCTGAAGGAAGGATGGGAGCTTCGACTGCATCTTTGATAGAAATAATGAAATCAAACTAAAATACATATTCTGTACTAAGAAACTGAAGCTATTGCAGTAGCACTTAATCTGGTTGGGTTTATAGACAGGAAATGTACTTGCAGGATTCAAGCTTTTGAGTTTGTTTCTTCATGGTAAATGCACTTGTAAGTCGCTTTGGATGAAAGAGTCACGTCACCACTGCTAAGCTAAAGGAGGCTAATGTTGGGCTATAAAGGAACTACAGCACGGTCACATGACTTCACGCCACCACCGCTAAGCTAAAGGTGGCTAATGTTGGGCTATAAAGGAACTACAGCACGGTCACATGACTTCACGTCACCACCGCTAAGCTAAAGGAGGCTAATGTTGGGCTATAAAGGAACTACAGCACGGTCACATGACTTCAAGTCACCACTGCTAAGCTAAAGGTGGCTAATGTTGGGCTATAAAGGAACTACAGCACGGTCACATGACTTCACGCCACCACCGCTAAGCTAAAGGTGGCTAATGTTGGGCTATAAAGGAACTACAGCACGGTCACATGACTTCACGTCACCACCGCTAAGCTAAAGGAGGCTAATGTTGGGCTATAAAGGAACTACAGCACGGTCACATGACTTCACGTCACCACCGCTAAGCTAAAGACGGCTAATGTTGGGCTATAAAGGAACTACAGCACGGTCACATGACTTCACGTCACCACCGCTAAGCTAAAGGAGGCTAATGTTGGGCTATAAAGGAACTACAGCACGGTCACATGACTTCACGTCACCACCGCTAAGCTAAAGACGGCTAATGTTGGGCTATAAAGGAACTACAGCACAGTCACATGACTTCACGTCACCACAGCTAAGCTAAAGGCGGCTAATGTTGGGCTATAAAGGAACTACAGCACGGTCACATGACTTCACGTCACCACCGCTAAGCTAAAGGAGGCTAATGTTGGGCTATAAAGGAACTACAGCACAGTCACATGACTTCACGTCACCACCGCTAAGCTAAAGGTGGCTAATGTTTGGCCAAATACACCTCCATAATATATTGTTTTTTAACTTAAACTGTAGCTCTGAGGATCTATAAGCCCATTCACTGAAGTGCACATGTGGAGTCACATCTCCTCGAACAAAAACCTGGCACCTGTTAAACATCAATAATTAAACTAAAAGTATTAGAGAGGTAGAAAAGGTTCATACAAACTGTTTCTGAGATTCACTTAAAAAGCAAACATTCTGGTACGAGGGAGGGTTTTCTTTTCAACAGATCAATCCTGGTTTTATAGAAAGGATGAACACAGTGAAGTCAGCCGTCCTTGGTTCTGTAAAGATTTCACAGTTTTTCCTCTTAAAACGCAGCAAAGTGTCAAATAGACTCTAACCTCTTTTATTATTCCTGCAAAAAGGCTGCAGCTTGTTTTTTTTGTGAGTCAGTAAATTCAGCTGCGGTGGCTAAATCAATATTTATGTATCCAAGGCCTCACACACACACACACACACACACACACACACACACACACACACACACACACACACACACACACACACACACACACACACACACACACACACACACACACACACACACACACACACACACACACACACTCTCACACACACTCTCACACACACACACACACACACACACACACACACACACACACACACACACACACACACACACACACATTGAGAATCGCAGACGGATTCCCATTTAAAAAGTCACTGAGGCTATAACTCACAATGTTCCTCAGCTTAATGATAAATCAGAGCGGGAACAGGCCGATAACCGTCCGGAGGGAAGATGAAGGGCGATCGACCTTCTCCTCATAAACATGACGACCTGATTGAAGCACACACACACACACACACACACACACACACACACACACCACACACACACACACACACACACACACACACACACACACACACTCACTCACACACTCACTCACTCACTCACTCACACACACACACACACACACACACACACACACACACACACACACACACACACACACACACACACACACCACACACACACACACACACACACACACACACACACACACACACACAGACAGACAGTTATTAGTCTGAATCCTGGGATCAGATCTCCGTTTGAGCGATAAGGCGGCGAGGGGAAGTGACGCCTCAGGGATGATATACCGGCCGATGATTAACGATAATGAAATGAAAACCGTAATTGTGCCGGAGATTTGATCCGCCATCAACGGGGACTTTAACCGCAATTTCCCTCCATAAATCTTCCTCTTATCAGACGCAGTGAAGCTATGATTAAAGTTCAAATTTGTTCTTTAACTCCGGCTCAGTTTCACAATTTTCTTCAGCTCTGCTTTGGGTAGAGAATGTAAATATTAAAGGCGCAAAAACAAGGATTTTCAAGACAAAAATACAACGTTAACTTCAACTTTTCAATTCTCTCTGCAGACCCATTCTCACAGCGTTTATCAACCTTTTTCTTACTCAATATCAAGCCACACTTATTGTTTTTACTTCGGCTGTGAGTTTGTGTGTGCTCAGGATGAGTTTCGCTATGTATCCTAAACAAGGAAACAACACCTCCACGGAGCTCAGCGCGATTCACAACGTCCCGACCAATCAGAGCACACTGTGCTCACAGGGAGGGTGGGGGCTGGAGCTTTTGGAGCTACAACGAGCCGTTAAAGGCAGAGAGTGAAATTCAGTGAATACACGTAGTTTACAGAGATGCTGTTTGAGAAACCAATGTGAGTTTGGAGAGATGCTGTATGAGAAACCAATGTGAGTTTGGAGAGATGCTGTTTGAGAAACCAATGTGAGTTTGGAAAAATGCACAATATAAATCTATTTTAGTAGACCTCAACAATGGAATTATGATCAGTGGAAATGGCCATGATACCTCTCCTTTAAATATGATCAAAAACATGACAAAGATCTTAAATATGATTTAGAAGGTCTTAAATATGATGGGATTTGAAAGGCACTTCTGTGTTGCGATCACGTCTAAATGTGTTTTGGGGGAAATGTCCGGGCTGCAAAGTAACCAGTACGCCTTTCAGTTCCCCCCAACAATTTGTATTGAAATAAATCAACATGGAACCAGTAATCACTAACTTTGTTTCCCCTCCGGCCCCTTATCGGAGAACACCCAGCTAGTAACCTAGCAACCAAGCTCCAGCTAGCTGCAGTCAGAAACTCGGGTATCTTCGATTCTGCTTACAAATAAATATGGGGAAGGGTAAGTTCAACCGTATTTGGTTGGAAAACATCGAATTTAGTGCTTGGTTGAAACCAGTTGAGGGGAACGTGTTTGAAGCCCGCTGTACCTTTTGCAAAAAAAATGTAGCGTTTTTTTTTGCAAATGTAGCGTTAGCTAGTGCTGCGTTAGCTAGTGCAGCAGCTCCTGCAACAACATCAGGGGACCTCCGGGCGACGTTTGGGTTTGAATACATTTACAATTTAAAATATATTTTTATTATGGGACGTATTTCTTCTTTCTTGCCGTGAAATAGGTCTTAAACTCTATTCAAAGTGGTCTTAAAAAGGTCTTAAAAAGTCTTACATTTGAGTTTCTGAAACCTGCAGGAACCCTGTGTTATCCTTGTTGTGTTTCTTTCCGGTGACACAGGGCTGTTCCAAATGCTTCACATAATTAGGTACACATATGATCACGTTGTCATTCATAAATAAAAGAGTGTGTTTGTAACGACAGCCCTATTCAAGGCTTTCACAGCTCATTGTTGATATTGTGAAACCCAACAGCCAGTGAGCGGAGAACGTTAATGGCACTGAAGGGAAATCAGACATCTTTAAACAAACACTCTGTTGTTAGATTTCACTGCCTCCAGGCCTTCTTCTAATGTTACCAACGCCTGATTAAAAACTAAATCTTGGTTTCTACGGACTAGCAACAAAAACACCCAGCATCTCCACGCACAGAATAACTCTGTGTGCAGTCAGGCTCTCTTTTACTTTTTCAAGTTTTTTTTTGCTTAGAGGTCAAAACTTTGGGAAAAGTGAAATGGAAGAGATTTATTACATATTTTTAGGACAGTTTTTCACGTATTTTTGTACATTTTCTATCTGTTTTTCACAGATTTTATGACAATTTTCAACATATTTTTCACATATTTTAAAAATTGTTTAACATATTTTACGTCCCTTTTTCATACATCTCAACACATATTTTTTGAACATTTTCACATATTCTATGACAATCTTTCATATATTTTGTGATATAACTAAATCTTGGTTTCTACGGACTAGCAAGGACGGAGATTTCAAGACATATTTCCATATAGTTTACAGTGTCTAACAAGCCTTTCTGTAAGTGTGTACACATCTGTATATTCCTTCTATTGTTGTGCTGTCTTTGTAATTTTCTTTATATAATATATTTATTTTTAGGATTTATTTACTTCTTTATCATTATTATTATTTTATTTTTTCTTTGACCTAATTTATTTATTTACTTTTTATTATTTGATTGCATGTGTGGAGAATGTGTTCTGTGTTTGGGATAAGTGGAAAAAAAGGGGGTACATATTGGTATCTCGCTCCTCCTTGATTGTGTTACCCTGTGAACATTCAAAAAATATATTTATTAAAAAAAAAAAAAAAATCGTATTGTTTTTGTTCTCGTCTCTTCAGGACTCTGGGATATAAGAACCGGTTAGTTCGGGTTCCTGACGGTCACTTCTGGCTGGAGGGCGATCATCACGGAAGCAGTATGGACAGCAACAGCTACGGACCGGTACGCATCAAACTCACACAGATCCACAAAGCACAGTTTACATATAACCCACAGTTTATCCTCCCAGAGATAATCCAATTAAAATGTGTTTATATAACCCAATATCACACATCACATTGGTCTCAGGGGGCTTCACAAAGAAACACAAACATATCTGAGAACATAGTCAAATACAAGATGAATGTGAAAATACCAATGAATGGATAACACAATGACACAAATAGAGTTAGAATACAATCATTAAATTCCATAAAAGGAAGGGTCCATGAGTCCTAACTGTACTAAAGAGGAAAGTCTTCAGCCTACTCTAAAACGTGTGGAATAAAATACCAGTTTGATGACTTTATCCTTCATTAGCAGTCATGCATTACTGATACACAGTGTTGGGAGTAAGGAGCTTCATGTGGGGGAAACTTCTGGAGTCAAAACTCAGAGGGAGCTGGAGCTTGATGTCAAACACTGAAGGTTTATTATGAAATCACGGCCGGAGAAATTACATAACATTCAATTTTTTCTGACATTTTATAGACATGTTTTACACATACTACAGGTCATTTTTCCAACAAATGTTTCTGCAATTTATTACGTATTTCTGGGAGATGCAGCATCTCACTGCTGTTAAGGTTGTGCTCATTGTAAGATAAGATCATCATATGTTTGTTGTGTATTTGTGGTGTGTTTAAAGGGCTTGAACCAGGGTCGATTCCCCTCTTTTACATGACATCTTGTGCTAAAAGAAGCTTAGCCAGATCAAATATTTAGATTTTTTCCGTCTCGTTCAATCTCTGTTTCTCTGATTGTAATTCAGAGTCTGTCAGTTTCCATCTCTGCTAACAGACGTCACATTATCTCTGTCAGAAGCAGAATCTCTTTCACATATGTATTGAACATTTATTACGTATTTTTTGACCAAATTGTCAGACACTATTTTTAGGACTTTTTCCAGATTTGTTTTTACAGTTTTTCAAATATTTTATGACCATTTTTCAGACATTTATTTGATATGTTTCACATATTTCATGACAATTTTTCACATATTTCATGACAATTTTTCACATAATCTCTCCCGGCTTTCAGAATCAGAATCAGAATCAGGTTCATCAGCAGGTAGGTTGACCTGAATGGATTAAAATGGAGTAAAACATGGAATAAAATTCGGCAGTAATAATAAAAAGAAAACAGATATTGTGTACATTGTGTGCCAATACTCTCTGAATGGGATGGAAACGTCACCACCAAATATTCACACCAGGAGGAACAGGACATCGATGGCTCGTATTCAGGATATATAATTTGAATATATATTCTCTCTGAGTGTGGCCTGCCGTGTTCGCCCACCACTCACAAACACATCCTCTCAGCCTGTGGGTCCGTCAGAACGAGTCAAAACAAACACCCACCATCTCCACACACAGAATAACTCTGTGTGCAGTCAGACTTTACTTTTATAAGTTTTCTTTTGCTTAGAACTCAAAACTTTGGGGAAAGTGAAATGCAAGACTTTATTTAACATATTTTTCGAAACAATTTTCACGTATGTTTGGTAATTTTTTTATCTGTTTTTCACATATTTTATGACAATTTTCTAATATTTTTTAGGGAATTCTTCAAGTATTTTCTGACAATTTTGACATGTTTTTAAAAGTTGTTTAACATATTTTACGTCCCTTTTTCATACATTTTAACACAATCTTTCACATATTTTTTGAACATTTTCACATATTTAATGACAATTTTTCATATATTTTTGGCATGTTTCACATATTTGTAAGACTTTTTCCAGACATTTATCACATATTTTATAACAATTTTTCACATATTTTCTCACAAATGTTCACATATTTTTTCACCATTTTTCAGACATTTATTTGACATGTTTCACATATTTTTAGGACTTTTTCCAGACATTTTACACATAATTCTTTGGGATGTTGGAAGCAAGTCACACACAATATTGCTAAATCATTATTATACAAGATGTCGTGGAACAATCTTTTTGCACATTATGGATCTCAGTGTAAAATCCTTCATTAAGAGACCCTGACCCTGAACACAGCGTTATCATCTCCACATGTTCTCTTATTTTCTTTTATTGAACCAAGTCGTTGTTGACATGCAGCTCTGACGCTGCTTTTCGTTGTTGTTATTGTTTATTTCCCAGGTGTCAGTGGGGCTGCTTCAGAGCCGAGCCTCTCACATCATCTGGCCTCCGCACCGCCTGCAGCGAATCGCAGCGTCTCTCCCTCCGAACCGAGGCCCGCTGGACGATGAGGAAGAGGAGGGATGAAGAAACACCTTTAATAACTATGTAAATGAGCCTGAAATGTTGAAGACGGACACAGCTGTACGATACTTTGAAAACACACTTTGAATGACTGGTTTTTCTAAAATGTCATATTCAGATCTTGTTATGAGCGTATTTGAGCACTGCGGCATAATAATTCAACTTATTATTATTATTATGTAAACTGTTAATTTACTTGGTTCATTTCGCCAGTCATTTTCCACATGAATAAATATCTTAATTAAAGACTTTATTGCACAAACACTCACTTTCTTCCCATTTTTCCTGCTGCTTAAGTCAGCTAGCAACACGTTTTTATTTCAAACACACAACAAGAAATCATGAAAGAAAATACACGTACAAAAAGAGATCAGTCAAAAAGTTGGAAAAGATCCCAAAAAAATAATAATAGAGTAAGAGACTATATATAAAGACGGACACAGCTGCACGAAACATACTTTGAATTAATGTTGTTTTTCTAAAATGTAATATTCAGATCCTCATCCTGTTATGTTAAACGTTAATACTTACGTAACGGCCCGCTGACTCACGCCTCTCTTACACACCTGAAAACCTTCCCGGCTCATTTGCATAAATTGAGGAAGCACTTGTGGTGAGTTCAGCTCTCCATCGTAGCGGTTGATGCTACGCCGCTAACAGCTGATTCACGGCTTAATGGGAACCCGCAAGTGGGGCTAAATGCAGGAGTCCTCAAACCCCCCCCCCCACCCCCCTCCACTGAGGCAGAAGCATAATGAACTCACTCCAATGTGATGTGCATGTCCGTGCCGATTGAATCTGACGTTTAATGTTTACGTTTGAGTTTCATAAACTGCCGATGTAATAAAGCTTTCTTCGTCCCACAGAGAGGAAATGTACATTGTTTCAGCAGAAAAGAGCCACAGACAGCTTAATGTTAACACATAAATGAGTGTGTTGGTTAGGAATTAAAGCCTGAGCTGAGTAATATCCACTCTGCATAATAAAACTTGTGTTTGCACATCTCTCAGTGCTTTACATCCTGCATCCATTTACCTTATTCACAGATCAGTCCGTCTCCGAGAGTCTCTCTGGTTTCTGTGCCAACTATCGCTACTAGGATACCAGCTGCCGTGCTTCCTCCATCACAGACACACACACACACACACACACACACACACACACACACACACACACACACACACACACACACACACACACACACACACACACAACAACACCAGTCACACACACACACAGTCACACACACACACGCACACACACACACACACACACACACAGTAACACACACACACAGTCACACACACACACACACACAGTAACACACACACACAGTCACACACACACACGCACACACACACACACACACACACACACACACACACACACAGTAACACACACACACAGTCACACGCACACACACATAGTCACACACAGTCACACACACACACACACAGTCACACACACAGTCACACACACACACAGTCACACACACACACACACACACAGTTGCACACACACACACAGTCACACACACAGTCACACACACAGTCACACACACAGTCACACACACACACACACACATAGTCACATACAGTCACACACACACACACACACACACACAGTCACACACACAGTCACACACACACAGTCACACACACACAGTCACACACACACAGTCACACAACACAGTCACATCCCACACACACAGTCACACACACAGTCACACACACACAGTCACACACACAGTCACACACACACACAGTCACACACACACAGTCACACACACAGTCACACACACACACACATAGTCACACACATACAGTCACACACACACAGTCACACACACACACAGTCACACACACACACAGTCACACAGTCACACACACACACACACGCACGCACACACACACACACACACAGACACACACACACACACACACACACACACACACATATACACAGTCACACACACACACAGTCACACACAGTCACACAGACACAGACACACACACACACACACACACACACATATACACAGTCACACACAGACACACACACACACACACATATACACAGTCACACACACACACAGTCACACAGTCACTCACACACACACGCACGCACGCACACACACACAGTCACACACACACAGTCACACACACACACACAGTCACACACACACACAGTCACACAGTCACACACACACGCACGCACGCACGCACACACACACACACACAGAGATCAAGCATGTGTTGTTGTTTTGTTTTCTTAAATCTTATTATCTTTATTGAATGTTCAGAAGAATCCGGACATGCCTACAGGAAAAACAAGAACTCATTATAGTGCAAAGAATAATTCTCCCTGAAACCGAGTTCCTGCTATAATACATTTAAAATATCAGTAGCATATGAATTCAACTATTAGATCATTAGATCGTATATGTCTTATAGCAACAACTGTCTTTCAGGTAGCAACACGGACATTTAGCAGCTAGGGATCAAGAAACCATTATTTAAAATATAATCAGAATCAAGTTTATCGCCAGGTACGTTTACACATACAAGGAATCTGCTTTGGTATCTATAGTCTGAAGATAGCCTTTAAAGGGGACCTATTGTGCAAAATCCACTTCTTCATGTCTCTTCTACATCAACATGTGTCCCCTCTTCTTCATGTCTCTTCTTCATCAACATGTGTCCCCTCTTCTTCATGTCTCTTCTACATCAACATGTGTCCCCTCTTCTTCATGTCTCTTCTACATCAACATGTGTCCCCTCTTCTTCATGTCTCTTCTACATTAACATGTGTCCCCTCTTCTTCATGTCTCTTCTACATCAACATGTGTCCCCTCTTCTTCATGTCTCTTCTACATCAACATGTGTCCCCTCTTCTTCATGTCTCTTCTACATCAACATGTGTCCCCTCTTCTTCATGTCTCTTCTACATTAACATGTGTCCCCTCTTCTTCATGTCTCTTCTACATCAACATGTGTCCCCTCTTCTTCATGTCTCTTCTACATCAACATGTGTCCCCTCTTCTTCATGTCTCTTCTACATCAACATGTGTCCCCTCTTCTTCATGTCTCTTCTACATCAACATGTGTCCCCTCTTCTTCATGTCTCTTCTACATCAACATGTGTCCCCTCTTCTTCATGTCTCTTCTACATCAACATGTGTCCCCTCTTCTTCATGTCTCTTCTACATCAACATGTGTCCCCTCTTCTTCATGTCTCTTCTACATCAACATGTGTCCCCTCTTCTTCATGTCTCTTCTACATCAACATGTGTCCCCTCTGTGTAAAGAGACTCTGAAAGTTTTAGGAACAAAGATTCTCTGTCTTTTTGATCCATTTCTATAAAAACCTGTCTGAAAATGAGCTGATCAGATGTTGTCCACTTTATGATGTCATAACGATGTTTTGTCTTGTGTAACCATTAGCCAATCAGCAACCAAGGTAACCCCCCCCCCCCCACCTTATCACCTGAATCTCCTCCTAGAGCACCATTGTGTTCTTTGTAACCAAATCTCTCTCAGAGGGGCGTGGGGAGTGGCTCCTTATTTTCATCTAAAGTAACAGACAGAGAATCAGCACTTTGGAAACAGGGCTGAAACAGAGGGGATTATGGGATGCTGCAATGATCTGTTTGGTGTTTCAGCCAATCAGAGACAGGCTCTGGATATATCTGAGACCTGAGAAAAACAGTATAATAGGGGACCTTTAAATCAATATTCAAGTGGCAGCCCCCCATTAGTCTGAAGATACCCTTTAAAGCAACACCCAATGAACGCTTCATGTGTGTCATTTGGAGAATGAATCATCGCAATCATCCGGGGGTTGAATTGATCCCCATATCACTGACATGTGGTCATGCTTTTTACAGCAGCTTGCCCCATTACTGCTCCTGGTTTCTTTCTCTGGATTCCTAATGAAATCCCGGAGCCGTCTCTAATCGCTCCACGGCTCATTTCACTGTCTGATTGCTCGCCTAGCACCGTAATCTTGACCAGTTTGAAATGCAATTATGCTAATGTGATGCGTTCAGGGTCAATCCGGCACTCTGGGTGGAGAGCTGAGCCCTGGAGCTCTGCTGTGATTGGACGTGTTTCATCCAGTCCTGTAACAGATACTAAACAGACCCGCTCTGACCAAGCCCCCAGGAAGTGCGCCGGACTCTGATGAAAATATTCGTGGTGGCCAAACGTCGGTACTACACTTCCTTTTGGTTGCCAGGCCCGGAAACACTTTTTCCCATTGACTTACATGGGGAAAGAGTGGTCTGTAAATCGTTGGATAATTTTTTTTAAACTAAATAAACTACCCAGTATGAACACTTGTATAGCCCTTATTAAAAACATTCGTTCCTCAAGTTGTAAAAATGTGCTAATAACGTTATTCTGAGAGTTATTTCCCTCTGCATTATGAACGCGCATCTAACCCACGGGACCGCGCCGGGCCGGCACGTTCATGTTACGTGTTCAGCACTACATGCGTTTATCTTTACCCATGGATGCACAATAAGAACGGACCCATATCGCCTTACTGCCAGCCCACGGAGCTGTAATAATGGACATATTGCACATGTTTGCTGTAATTCATCATTTGTAAAATATTATACTACATGGGCTGTATGATTAAATCTTGTACCGTAAATGTTGTATTAAATAAAGTTAATATTACCGACGTAGATTAACGTCCCTGTAGCTTCTTATTGCACTAAGAAGCTTATTGCACTGTATATATATATATATATATATATATATATATATATATATATATATATATACATATATATATATATACAGTGCAATAATTCTTTCATGCTAAATGAAGCTCTGTTGCTTGGATATCACTAGATCCTGTTACAGCGTAATATAAAAGTACATAACGATTGATGTGTAAATTAGCATAATTACTAGCTAACCGCTAGCTGCTAACTGCCGCCTCGTTAATATCAAATCTATCATAATAACAAAACATTACCATGCTGTCATGAACGTGCGGTGCTGTTACGTGTACGCAAATTGACGTGCTTGATGTGAACGAGCATTTTGGGGGGCATGGTTAAAGTTGCGCATGCGCTATGAGCGCACATACGGGTACTTCTCAGGCATGCCGGGTAATCTGTGACGTTTCGCTCTCTCAAAAGTTGGGCCATTTTATCATCATGCGCGAATGAGCAACTCTCATAGGAATGAATGAGGCCCCGCCTCCCACGCTGTATCCAGTTCTTATTATACATCCATGGCTCTGACCCAGCAGCGCGGTGGGTTTAGAGCCTCTGGAGAGAGAAGACACAAAAAAAGACCACAAGGGATTCGAAGCCACCAAAAAAAAAGATAACAAAGCAACCAAAAAATCCAAAATGATTGTAAAAAAAACAACATAATGTCTAAAAATAGAGAGACAAAACCAAAAAGAGACGTAAAATGTCAACAAAGAGCCAACAAACAACCAAAACCAAACACAACATATCCAAAAAGAGATGTGAATATCGACAAACAGATAATCAAAAAGGGTAATTCTTGACACGACTTTGACTACGTAGGATTACTTTCCATCAGTTGCAGTATCTAGTGCTTCCTGTCCACATGTTGAAGTGCCTTTGGGCCAATGAACCCATGGATACTGGACAGGCCTACTGGCCCAGGGGTGGAGACTTTATTTATTACAATTCGTCCAATACTTCTCAGTGACTTCAAGAAAACCAAATCCAAGTTCGACAAAAAATGTTTTTACTGGCTTTTCAATAAATCAATAGTTATAGGCTTTTATATCTCACTAACTTTTACATTTTTAAGGCAAATTGTACACAAAATAACATGTAAAACTGGTATTTTAGGTGATTTTCCATCAAAAATAACATAATATTTGACAACATGTTGACTATGTAGGATGATTGTCCATCAGTTGCAGTGTCTGACTGCCTTTCGACAGACAAAAAACATTTTTGGGGGAAATAGTGAATCCTACGTGAGTGCATGGTAACTCTATTCAAGAGGAACGCCCCTCACAAGC